AACAAAATAAAACAACAACAACAACAAAATCCTCACCTACCTTGTACCAGTTTTATGTTTACATTTTTCTAACCAGGGTAGCACACAATGTCTATGTGACTTGTATATTTCCTGAGTATTTAAATTTTAAAATTGCCTTTATAATGCCTGCTGTTATTGGATAATCCATCCTGCATGATAATTTTTGGTGTTCAGGCTTAAAAAAAAGTTTTTTCCAGGGTATTTTGTTTTATTTTGTTTGTTTTGAGACAGGGTCTCACTCTGTCATCCAGGCTGGGTGCAGAGGCATCATCAGGGCTCACTGAAGCCTCGACCTCAAGCTCTTGGGCTCCAGCCATCCTTCTGCCTCAGCACCTCCTGTTCCCTGCCCCAAATAGTTGGACTACAGGTGAATGCCACCTCTCTTAGCTAATTGTTTTGAATTTTTAGTAGAGACAAGGTCTCGCTATGTTGTCTAGGCTGGTCTGGAACTCCTGAGCTCAAGTGATCCTCCTGCCTCAGCCTCCCAAAATGATGGGATTACAGGTATGTGCACCCAGCTGTGTATTTTATTAAATTAAGTCAACATCTACAATCTACACTGTAGAATGAGTTGCTTCTGAGTAGGTATGTCTTTACTGACTTCAAATTCTTTTTCTAAGCTCTTTGCTCAGGGAGTACTTTCTTTCCTTTTTTGGATGTTCTCATTCTCATGTTAAGATTGACCAATTATAAACCCAGCAAGTCAATCCCTGTGTCCTGTTCTTTTGGGTTAGTCTGTTTGAAATCTTTCCATGGCATGTAGATAAATGTGTCTAAATTTATACACAAAGCATAACCCTGATATATCATGGGTTCAGTTCCAGACCATGGCAATAAACAAGCAAGTATTCCAGTAAAGTGAGTCATGCAAATTGTTTGGTTTCCCAGTGCATATAAAATTTGTGTTTATACTATACTGTGGTCTATTAAGTGTGCAACAGCATTATGTTTAATTACATATCTTAATTTTAAAATTATTTAAAGAAAATGCTAATAATGATCATCTGAGCCTTCAGTGAGTTGTAATCTTTTATTGCTGAGAGAGGGTCTTGCCTTGATGTTGATGCCTGCTGACTGATCATGGCGGTGGCTGCTGAAGGTTGAGTGGCAACCTCTTAAAATAAGACAATAATGAAATTTGCCACATAACAGGGCTTTTCTTTTAATGAAAGATTTCTCTGCAGTGTGATGCTGTTTGATAGCATTTTAGCCTCAGGAGAAATTTTTTTTTTACATTGGAATCAATCCTCTCAGACTTTGCCACTGCTTTATTAACTAAATTGATATAATATTTGAAATTCTTTGTCATTTCAATAATGTTCACAACATCTTTACCAGTAGATTGTATCTCAAGAAACCATTTTCTTATTCATCCATAAGAAGCAACTCCTCATCTGTTCAAGTTTTATCATGAGATTACAGCAATTCAGTCACATTTTCAGGTTCCACTTCCAATGATACTTCTCTTGCTATTTCCACCATAAGGAACTTCTGCAGTTCCTTCCTCCACTGAAATCTCAAACCCCTCAAAGTCATCCATGAAGGTTGGAATCAACTCTTCTAAAGTCCTGTTAACATCAATATCTTAACCTCCTCTCATGAATCATAATGTTCTTAATGGAATCTAGAAGGGTAAATCTTTTCCAGAAGAATTTCAATTTACTTTGCCCAAATCCATTAGAGCCATCAGTATCTATGGCAGGTACAGCCTTACAAAATGTATTTCTTAAATGGTAAGACTTAAAAGTCAAAATGACTCCTTGATCCATGAGCTTCAGAATGGATGTTGTGTTAGCAGGCATGAGAACAACATTCATCTCCTTGTACATTTCCATTAGAACTCTTGGATGATCAGGTGTATTGTCACTGAGCAGTAATATTTTGAAAGAAATTCCTTTTCCTAAGTTGTAGGTCTCAACAGTGGGCTTAAAATATTTAATAAACCACAGCACAACAGACGTGCTGTCATCCAGGCTTTGTTGTTCCATTGTTAGAGCATAGGTAGAGTACATTTAGCAGCATTCTGAAAGGTTCTAGGATTTTCAGAATAGTCAAATGAGCACTGGCTTCAACTTAAGGTCATCAGCTGCATTAGCCCCTAACAAGAGAGTCAGCCTGTCCTTTGAAGCTTTGAAACTAGGCACTGATATCTCCTCTCTAGCTAGGGAAGTCTTAAATGACATCTTCTTTCCCTAGAAGACTGTTTTTCTACACTGAAAATCTGTTGTTTTGTATAGCCACCTTCGTCCATGATCTTAATAACTAAATTCTCTGGAAAACTTGCTGCAGCTTTTACATTTGCACTTGCTGCTTCCCTTCTACTTTTATGTTGTAGAGATGGTTTATTTTTTTAAATCTCATGAACCAACCTCCGCTAGCTTTGAACTATCTTCTCCAGCTTTCTTCCCCTTTCTCAGCCTTTACTGAATTGAGGAGTTAGGAACTTGCTCTGGATTGGACTCTGGCTTAAGGGAATGTTGTGGCTGGTTTGATTTTCTATCCAAACCACTCAGACTTTCTCCATATCAGCAATAAAGTTGTTTTGGTCTCTTAAAATTCATGTGTTCTGTGGAGTGGAACTTGTAATTTCCTTTAAGAAATTTTCCTTTGCATTCACAACTTGGTTAAATGTTTAGCACGAGGGATCTAGCTTTTGGCCTATCTCAGCTTTTTACATGGCTTCCTCACTATGCTTAATCATTTCTAGCATTTGATTTAAAGTGAAAGATGTGTGACTTTTTCTTTCACATGAAGAGAGTTACAGGCCACTGTAAGGTTATTTATTGCCTTAATTTCAATATTGCTCTATCTTAGAAAAGGTAGGCCCAAGGAAAGGAACAGAGATGGGGAACAGTCAGTCAGTGGAGCAGTCAGAACACACACGTTTATTAATTGTTGGTCATCTTATGTGGGTATGGTCTGTGGCACCCCCAAACAACTACAATATCAACATCAAAGATCACTGATTGCAGGTCATCACAGCAGATATAGCTTGAAATATTGTGAGAATTACCAAAATGTGACACAGAGGCACAAAGTGATCATCTGCTGTTGAAAAAATGACACCAACAGACTTACTCAAAGCAGGGTGGCCACAAACCTTCAGTCTGTACAAAATACAGTACCTGCAAAGCGCAATAAAGTGAAGCCCAATGAAAAGAGGGATGTCTGGACTGCATCTGGCTCTCTCAATCACTTCTCACTGTATTTTCTGGCTTCTTTCATCCTTCCCATTAGGAACCTATGTTCTATCATCTTGTGACCACTTTCCTAAATTGTAATAGCTTTCCAGAGTGGTGAATTGGTAGAATGAACTCCAGACCAGATGGCAAATTAGTAACCATGCATTTGAAGGAGCGTGAAGTAGACCATCATTCAAGAAGTCAATTTTTTCCTCCACATTTAGTGTGGGATATTTTTGGTGCAGAGAAAGTTCTCTGTTCTTGCAATCAACAGTTTTCAAATATTTACTGTTTGGTTTTGCATTTACCTTTTCTGTAAGGCACCGGCTATACCTCTCAAATCAGTAACTATAAGGTTCACTTTCTAGCAATTAGTATATAAAAATACTCATTTGTTAAATAACTTTCAGATGAAACCTCTAATTTTCTTATTTATAGGTATATGGCATAGAGTTTTTATCACACTATCTTTATAAATCAAATTTTTTCCTTGAGAAATACTCACTGACTTTTAGAATATATATTTTATAAAATATATAGCAAAACTGAAAAGACACTTAAACATCTTGAGAAAAGTATCACTTTACTCCCAACGGCAAAGTCAGCTTAGAATAAAGTGAATATTCAGGACCTAATTCTCTAAAGGAGATATACTTCCTGACATTAGTGTATCAACTTAAATTTTTTTTTTTTTTTTTTTTTTTTNTTTTTGAGACGAGTCTCGCTCTGTTGCCCAGGCTGGAGCGCAGTGGTGTGATCTCTGCTTACTGCAACCTCCACACCCTGGGCTCAGGCGATTCTCCTGCCTCAGCCTACCAAGTAGCTGGGACTACAGGCACGCACCACCACATTTGGCTAATTTTTGTATTTTTAGTAGAGACAGGGTTTCACTATGTTGTTCAGGCTGATCTCGAACTCCTGAACTCAGGCAATCTGCCCATCTTCGCCTCCCAAAGTGCTGGGATTATAGGCGTGAGCAACCACACCCAGCCTCAACTTAATTTTTATTAAACATGAGTAATACAATGGATATTTGTATTTTGTGCTGGGTAACTTTTTATTGTGATGGCTGCTTTGTGTTCCGCAGGATGTTTTGAAGCATATCTGACCTCTACTCACTGAATGCTACTTGCACCCACTGCAGACAATGCCAATGTTCCCTGGCAGAATCACCACTTATATAAAAGAACCAAAGATTTGAATTTAACTAATCAAACAAACAAACAATGATATGATAGGCCTAGTTTAATGCAGATACAATCTATCAAAATTATAGAGATTTCATTCTTTTTTCATTCACATCCAAAAATTAGGGACAAATCCAGTAGACACAAACTCTTAGATTCTCCCATTAAATAAAAAACTTTGATGTATTTGCTTACTCTAAAAAACCATAGTATTGGCTCTGAATTGCCACCATGCAGGTTTTGTCATGTCACCACATTATACATATCAGGGGATCTGTACCACCTGTATTAAAACTATTTTATAGTTTTGAAGACAAGGACATCAAAAACTAAATAAGTTGGGGAAGGGGTGGAGATTTTTCTGAAACTTTTGTATCTGTAGCAAGACAGGGTCACAGGGCTAGAGGATTAATTACATAAGAGGGTGAGGTATGGGTTAGTAACAATGGCTCACATTTATTTAATGGGTATATTTAGTTAGGGATGAATAAAGCTGCCACTAAATTAACACTATTCAATTACATGAACACTAATGAAAGAGAGAGAGAGAGACAGAGAAAAGGAAAAAACAGAGACAGTGAGAGAGAGAGAGATAATAGGTATACTTTACCATCCCCAGGAATGATGCGGAGGGTAACTGTGTTTCCTGCTTCCTTGATTAGGTTCACAATGTCTGAATGGGATTTGTTGGTGATGGAACATCCATTTACTGCCAAGATCCGGTCTCCTACTTTCAGCTTGCCACAGCGGTCAGCAGGGCTCCCCTCAATAATCCGACCTATTTTGTGAGGCATAGCCACACATGCATTGCCTGCTTTGATATTGAGTTTTAATTTTGTAAAGTTACGTGGAAATATAGCAAAGGGAGGAGAAAAAGGATTGAAAAGGGAAAGAGAAGGTTAAGTGTTAATTAATTAAAGCATTAAGCAAATGTTATTAAAGGAGAGGTCTGCACTGATGGTCAAAACATTGGCAATATTCAGGGCATCTGTATTAGGAGCTACTCTCCTGAAACTAGAATTCACTGCTGCCATCCTTTCCAGATTCAAAATTAGGGGAACCTCCAGCTTTCCTCCTTAAATCAATTACAAAATTTGGGATAGTTGGCAACTTCAAAGATTTTTAAGAGCCCCAAAATAACTCGCTGTTGGCTTATTTTGGGACTGCAAATGTGAAACCCAAAGCTGGAATGGATGCTTTTACTCATTCTGTGTTCATGTCACTTCATTTTTGCCAGCTGTTGTTTAAGCTTCTGCCAATGTTTTGTTCTTTCTCCATTTAGAAAAATAATCACTGGGCATCTGGTGAGGCATAAGAGTCTGCTAGCACGAAAAATTCTATCTGAAAACACCTAATGAACAAACACTCAGACTTTCTGCCTTCTCCCCAGAATGATGAAAGCTTTAGAAAAAGGGTGTAATTATAAGAGATGAGCCAAGAAAGCACCCAACCTTGAAGCTTATTTTTCCTTTTAGGACCTTTGCTCAAGCAGCCAGTCTCATGTGCTTTCAGAGTGTGGCCCGACTGGTTCATTAGCTCTGAAATCATCCTTCTGCCTCGCAAAAATCCCCTCAAAGGACTATGAAAATTTAGTACCTATTCAGGCTGAGGACATTGATCCAAAGCTAGGTTCAAATCATTTCTCACCCTTTTTCCTTTAATCATCTCCTTTCTCATCATCAGTTACTGCACATCCACAATATCAAAGACTAGGCAAAGTGCATTTGGAGAGAAAGGTTTATCGTGCACTTTGAGGCACCGCATGTCACTGCTAACTTCTAGAGAGTGGTGGCTAGCTTTGAGGCCTGACACAGGATTTCTAGTTAATCTAGTTAATCATGTATTGAGTTCCAAAGTTTCTTATGCAGATTCACCTAATTTGAGAATTTGTCCTTCTAGGAACTGTGAAGATAGTTATGCACTTGAGTTACCTTTTGGAAAGGGTGACAAAATTAACACGAGGGACATTAAAACTAACTGCGTAAGCTCTTCTGTCATAATTTGGACCTTAAAGGTAAAGTATGTGGGAAAATGCACTTTAATTCCTTTGAATTTCAGCAGATTTGCCTGAATTTGTATCACAGGATGGAACATCAAGGTTAAGATAATTTTTAAAAGTAAATGCTCTATTGGAATCCAACAGGTAGGTGTGCTGGAACATTCCCATGCTCAAATTCAAAGTCTTGACTAAATTTAGTTCATCTCCAAGGACAACTGGTATAACAAAGGCATCAAACAGCAGGTTTGAGGAAAGCTCAGCAAAGCTCAGAAGTCTCATGCAAGATATTAGGGAAAGTTTAATTTGTTTGTTGTAAGAGCCAAAGGAAAACAATCAAAGACCAAATTGTGAGTGTGAATACAATATTCATTATATAACACATAACCTGCCACTTGACATATTTGCTGTTTCTTTCTAGAAGGTGAAACTGACAATTCTGAAATACTTAAGAACATCACAGGATGCATGGAGACAGTCTATTGTACATCTGAAGAAAATAATTTGGGATTTCTGTCTCCTCTCTTCCTTCTCTTTATTTTTATATTAAGCAGGACAGCCTCTGAAATTAATTTTAAACCAAAACAAAAAAAACTTGCTTTGATGTCAGGTCATCCATCCATGACATGCTATGATGACTTTATTAATGTAGCTCAAAAAGCACTGTTAGTAAGGGGCGTTTGTTACTGCAGCCACACATGCATAGACCTGGCTGAGACACTGTCCCCTGTTAAACATAAAACTTACGGGGAGACAGCTCTGGCAGGAAGCAACTACATCAAGACTAAATGGAGGCCAAGTGAGTTCTACAGGATGAGAATGCTAAAGGGATGTAGCACCTTGCTGATCCTAGCCAGTTTCCATGTGGATAAGTCATTCAGGGATATAGCTGAGGTAAATGAAAAGCCTGCACAGCCTCCACAGCCCTTTTCCTTCTCCCGTTGTATTCCATACTAAGTAACAAATGTGCTTGGGAGATAACAAATGACGTTTTACCCAATCAGGAAGGTGGATCATTTTTGGAGTGTATATCTATAATCAACACATTACAATAGGAAACAGGTTCATTTATCACTAGTTCCTGCAATCATCTGGGTTCTTATTGGTCTTTGCTAGTGTACCTAGCAGAGAGTAAACCTCCTGAAAGGGTGACAATTGTGTTTCTCCATACTTTGCTGAAACCCCCAATGTCTTAATATTCAAATGACTCTTAACTCTGATTTTAACCAGCAACGGTAAAAATATTATTTAAAATTAAATAAAAATTCCTATGGAGATAGAGAAAGAACACAGTTGAGGCGGGACTAGCGTCTCATGCAATGTTTTTATTCCTTACACCTCTATTTTTCCTAGAGCATTTTTACAACCATATGCTCCTTGTAAAAACTTTTAAGATATTCTTAAGACCATTCGGAGACCACTGCAATTAGTGATATCCTATTTAAGACCCTTCAGCCAGGCGGTGGCTCAGGCCTGTAATCCCAGCACTTTGGGAGGCTGAGGCAGGGGGATCACGAGGTCAGGAGTTTGAGACCAGCCTGGCCAACACAGTGAAATCCCATCTTTACTAAAAATACAAAAATTAGCTGGGCGTGGTGGTGGACACCTGTAATCCCACTTATTCCTGAGGCTGAGGCAGGAGAATCGTTTGAACCCGGGAGGCGGAGGTTGCAGTGAGCCAAGATCGCGTCATTGTACTCCAGCCTGGACAACAGGGCGAGACTCCTTCTCAAACAAACAAACAACCTTTCAAAAGCCTTGCTCTGAAAAAAAGTGTAGACTGTCTATACTGTCCAGGGGTCGCTATTCAAACTTCACGCAAATCTGATGCTTTGTGTATGCGTGATCATATTCTCAAGATGGAAGTTGAAAAGGTTGAATAAATATTCCCAGCCTTCAGAAGGGAAAGAGCTACCAAATCAACTCCATCTCTAATTAAATCTTTACCCCAGAGCAAGAAGCCATAAAGCATTTCTGCTCATTGAGGTCTGGGCCAGTTTTCACTTGCAAGAGAACAAAAACTCCATGGTGGGAAACCCTGGGCAATTTCATATTCAGCACTCACCAAAGGTCGTGCCTGCTTCGGGCCTGCTCACCGAGGACACGATGACGAAGCCGAAGCCCTCGTTCTCCCCGCGCCGGATCTCCACGTCGTAGGGCTGCACTACGGTGCTGACCACACCGCTGCCCCCGCCGCCGCCGCTGCCGATGCCGCTGGTGCTGCCGCTGCCCGAGCTCACGGTGTTCAGCGAGTTCTGGCTGCCCTGCGGTGTGCGCTTCTCTTCTGTCAGCGAGGCCGGCTGGTTGCTACTGTGATGAGAGGAGGCTGGCGAGGGAACCTCGTTCTCGGTTTTGGGCACTGTAACAGAGAGATGCACGCTTACATCACCGCGTCCTGCAGCCCCTCCATCCTCCTGCCCCGCCCTCCTTCCCGAAACGTCCGCAAGAAATCAAAACATGAACCGCGGGGAGGAGACAGCACCTGGGTTCACAAAACCTGAATATACGGATTGAAAGCAGCTTCTCTTGACAAATATTAAGCATTCAGTATCTAGGAACATCGATCACACCTAACACCAAATCGGACTCCCAAACGGCGTTTGTAATTTATAGCATGCTATATGTCGACATACACACTCAGAATCAAGTCTGCAGCAAGATCAACTTGCTGTAAAATATTTCCCCATTGCACAAAGGGAAGGGCCTAAGCGTAGGTGAGGGTTACGCCCCCAAAGACCGCCATCTTGGCTGCACAGACACAACCTTGGATGCCCGTTCATATTGTCGCTACCTTCCAGTCACATTTCCACTCTGCTTTTTCCATCAGGCCACAAACAGTAAGGTGACGGAACCATTGAGGCTACCCGCCCTACGTGGAGTTCATGACAACACCTGCGAGACATACACACAGCTTCTCTTCTTAGCTGCCTGGTGTCAACATCTACGCTCATCACAGAACTGGATGCACTGGCCTCCTTCTGACTTTAGTGACCAATCTAGTGTTATTGTCAGATAGCAGGGTAAGGCACTCCTAAATAGCCAACATAGTAGGTGGCACCAACTGTGCCAAAAACAAAATGTGTGTTGTGTCCAAGTTCTGGATCAGACTATATCTATTTCCAAAAGCTTTCCTTTTCATAGGTTTTTTTAATTGTGGGAAAATAAGCATAACAAATTTTTAAACCATTTTTAAGTGTACAGTTGAGTGGTATTAAGTGCATTCACATTTTTGTGCAGCTATCTCGTCATCTGTCTCCAGAATTTTGTCATTTTCCAAATTGAAACTCTGTACTCATTAAAAACTAACTCCCTTTCCCATTTCCCCCACTCCCCAGCAACCACCATTCTGCATTCTAGCTATAAATTTGACTACCCTAGGTGCTTCATATAAAGGGAATCAATATTTCTCCTTTGTGACTAGTTTGCTTTGCATAATGTCTCTTCATATATTTGACAGGCCTTTTACACAGAGCTAAAAACCCAAAGTATTTAAAATTTAAAAAAAAAAAAAAAAACCTGAAACAAACAAACAAAAAAAATCACATTGCCTTACTATTTCTATTTGGGCCAGGGATGTCAAACAGTTTTCATCTCATCTCAAACACCAGTTCTGGCTGACTGGTTTTAGCTGCATGGAATAGTACGTTTAGAAGGATTGTGAGGCCATAAACAAGCTCTAAGGACATAATCTACGGCGGATTAACACTGTTTTCCATGGCTGCAGTAGGTAGGACTTTCACACAGGAATTTAATATCTTAATTCTATAATTAATCATACACCATTTAAAATGGGTTATACTCTTTTTTAAGCAAGGTACCAATTAATTTTATCTGATAGGTATTTGTTTCACTAATATTAATGCCATGAGAATTCATAATATTTCAGGTCACATTTCTCCAGTAATTCAACTGATATAAGACAGTTGCCTCTGCTGCATACTGGGTTCTGTTTAAAAGGCTTCAAGGTGGGAGCTGCATCCAAAGCTGAACAATCAAGGTGTGTTCAACGCGTGCTTTCAGGAAGCTTGTAGGTCAAGGGAAAGGACAGACACACAATTCACTGTGTCAAAATAGCAGATTCTGATACAGAAGTAAACCATGAGTCACTAGAATGCCAAGGAGGGAATGCTAAAATCTGAAGGCAGTTGGAGGAAGGAAGAATTTCCGAAAGAAGAAGGTTATATTTAAGCATATGGGCAGGAAGAAGGAATCAAAGCTGACCTAGAACTGGCCAGCTCTACAACTTTCTTGTAGAAAGAAAAAAAATAATAATCTTGGTTTAATACACAGGACAGTTAAGAAATCAGTAACTTTTTAATGAGTTTAATTTGTAGCACAAACCCAATTTTTGTCTTCAATATGAAGCTACAACTCTTCTAACTTTCATAATGACCTCATTTGTTGAAGGATTATCATCAAATGAAGAGGATGGCTAAGTTCTGATTTGCAAGGAGATGGAAGGGAAGTTATATATATTCAACTAGCCTTTCTCTGGAAGCCTTCGTTGAACATATGCAAACAGCACATTAAAGTACTTCAGAATGACAGTAATTTTTGCAGGGTTTGAGAGAAGCAAGCCATCTGGAAATTCTGAGCTTGATCACATTTGCAAACATTTGCTAAAATAGATGCTCAAGGAGGCAGACACAGGAAGGAGGCCTTTTCTGTGAATAAAGTGACAACACACTGTCTGAAGGAATGAATGAAACACATACCCGCAAAAACCACTTTACGCCGCACCGTGAGATTGACGTGGCCTTGCTTGGCAGCTTGTTGCATAAGCTGGACCACAAGCTGGTGTGATTTTCCAATTACTGGCGTCCCATCCACACAGATTAATTCATCTCCAGACCTCAGGCGGCCGTCTGTATCAGCAGCACCCAATGGTACGATGTGACCAATATAAATCTGTTGAGTAATTGAATGATGGATGAAACACTGCTCTCTTATGTTTACTGTTACACTAGTGGCCTTCACATCTCTGGGAAAAATTCATTCATTCATGTCTGCAGGCATACCACAAACATTTATTGAGCACCCGCTGTGTACAAGACATTGAGCTAAGTATTACAACAATTCTTAAATGGTGGAAAGAATATTTCTTGCTTAGTTTCTGGATGTTTACCTGTGGTCTATTGATGACTCATTCTTTCTTTTTCCCCTTTGCAGATATAAATCACTTTTCTCCCTTCATGGTACAACCTATTCTTCTTTCCTGGCTACCTAAAAACTCTCTTGCCATAAAACTCTGCTATTTAAAATATTAATATTACTTTTATTTAAGGGTCTAGCATCATGCCTAGCAATAGGGAATATGTAATAAATACTCTTAAATGAATGGATGCATAAAGCAAAAGCTGCTTGGACATATCCATTTTTGAAATCTTTCAGTACTGGAAAGCAGAGCTCTCTTTATAGTTAGTGCCTTGCTGTTATATTTGCCATTCACTAAACCTTAGCTAAAATATTTGTGCCTGCCTTGCCTTTCAGCAGACAATAATGCTATAGTTGCCTTTACATGGTATTCATAGTAAACAAAGAACTTTGAGAAAATAATTGTTAAGAACATGGACTCGAGTCAGACCTTCTTTGTCAGTCCCTCCATTTAGTAGCTCTGTGATCTTGGGGAAGTTAATTAGCCTTTCTTTCTTTTCTTCTCTTTTTTTTTTTAAATGTGAAAGCAGGATAAACTGGTAGGTTTGATGGATAAATGAGAGAATGTATGTTAAGAGCCTTTAGCACAGAACGTGGCAGTTAGTAGGGTTTTGATCATAATGGCTGTTATTACCATGAGGAAATTAACAATACCTATTTTAGTTTTCTTTTCTTCCTTCAAAACAACCCTGTGATGTTATACTAAATTTATTCCAAAATGGAGGGCACTGAGGCCCAGGGAAGTTCAATGTCTCTTGACCCTTGCTTAGGGTTCTTTCTTAACTTTTGCAAAGGTAGGGGTCTGACTTTCTCCAATTGCTGTCTCATAAGGCCTTGCAAAATACTCTCTGCACACTAGCAACTCAACATACAAAGCCCACTACCTGCTGGCAAATTGAATGGACCTGGCCAGAGGGACCAGGCCACTGTTATATTAGGTGATACTTATTCCCGTTTTGCTTTCTGTTTTCCTCTCCCTTGGGGGAAAGAAGTGGTCTAAAGAGGCTGCAGCTGCCACTTTTCACAAACATGTATACAAACTTTTTAGAAAGAATCTAGTCTCTTCTTCCTCAAGACAAAGAGAACTCCACAAAACCCAATGAAAACCCCACACTGCTCAAGATGAAAGAGCCAGTGTTGCATCTAGCTGGACTCAAATCTTGGTGATTTGTCACTGTCGCCAATTTTCTTTGAAGCCTTAGAAAAATATGCTGGGGAGAGAGACAAGCAAAAGACTCACAGGTTCCCCTGGTTCATTTCCACCCAGAATCCTAAATCCAAATCCAGTCTCTTTTCTCCAGAGGAAGATGTCCTGTTCCTGGTAATCTGGAACTACAGAGAGGGGAGAAGAAGAGATAGGTTATTTTACTGATAAAAACAATGATACCCCCAAGATGAACAAAATTGTAGGACCAAGAATGGTGGTGCTTGTTCAGATGGAAGCTTTTCAACATAGGCAAAGAAACAAAATACTCTGAACAGGTAAAATAACAAAAGACACAGGGATAAAGCAAATAGTGGAAATAGTCACTGAGCCCTAAAGGTCTTCAAAGGACTAATCCCTATTTGATAATTCCCAATCAAGCCCAAGCCATGATCCGTAAATACAAATAGCATTAACTGCTTTACTCAGTATTCTTGCAAGGGGAATTAAGTAAATTAAAATTATGATGAGCCGCACCACAAAGTAGGTGTCCATATCCAAGAACAGAACTCAGACTAAGTCAGAGTCACCTCTGAAGCTAGCTCTAAGGATTGTAAAGTTATGTTGTCACCAGATGTTTCATCTACTAGAGGATGAAAGAGAAGAGCTTGTTTTAAAAAGACTTTCTGATTTATCTTTAAGTCACTTTCTTCTTCCTTAAAATAATGAAGACTAGCAATGCTAAGAATTTGATTTGTTAAATCATTTTTGCAAAAAATGACTTCAAACATCCTAATATTTCCGCATACAGTCAGCCCTCCAAATCTGTGGGTTCTGCATCCTTAGAGTCAAGCAATCACAGGCAGAAAATCTGTTAGACCTACAATGGTTTTAGCTGTGATGAATATGTACAGATTTTTTTCTTGTCATTATTTACTAAGTAATACAGTACCACAACTATTTACATGGTATTTGCATTGTATTTGATATCATAAGTAATGTAGAGACAATTTAAAGTATATAGGAGGAGGTGGTGTGGTGGCTCATAGTGGCAATCCCAGCACTTCGGGAGAGTGAGGTGGGCAAGTCACTTGAGCCTAGGTGTTCAAGTCTGGGCAGCACAGTAAGACCTTGTCTCTACAAAAATAAAAATAAAAATAAAAATAGAAAAACAAAAAATGAGCCAGGTGTGGTGGTGTGTGCCTGGCTACTCGGGAAGCTGAGGTGGGAGAATTGCTTGAGCCAGGGAGGTTGAGACTGCAGTGAGCTATGATTGCCCAATGCACTCCAGCCTGGGTGACAGAGTGAGACCTTGTCTCAAATAAATAAATAAATAAACAACAAAAAATAGATTACATAGGAAGGTTTTGTGTGTGTGTGTGTGTGTGTGTGTGTGTGTGTGTGTGTGTGTTACACAAATATTATGCTATTTTCTAGGGATTTAAGAATCCATGGATTTTTATATCATTGGTGGGGGGTGCAGATATCCTGAAACCAATCCTGAGCAGATACTGAGGGGTGACTGTACAAAGTTTACTAGGATTTCAATACCATTACCAAACTCAGCCAGGCCTCCAAATCCTTAAGATTAATGGTGATGACAAAAGTCTATATTATATTAAACCATATATCTCATTGCCAAAATAATTGTTTTATTCCAGGATTTGACTGTGATATTTCAACATTAAAAGTATTAATTCATTTTCCAATAACTTGATATTTTACTTTCAACACTCAGTAATGGTCTAGGGCTTTAAAATGAATATCTCGTTTTTTTTTAAAGAAATGTAATTCCTTTAAGAAAATGCTTACTATATATGAAATTGTTCTACAAAACACTCTGTTACTTCACTCAAGTAAAAGAGAGTTATTTCTATTTAATTCTTATTTAATGTTTTAATGTATACACAGGGTGTTTTATGACCTATTAAATGATTTCATTTTTATTTAAAAAGAAAAAAATATAATTCAGTTGCAGTCAATCCTAAAAGAGATTTTCAAATGCTGTTGTGCCTACTTTCTTATTTAATTAACTGGATTTGAAGCTGAAGGAATGTGCAGGCCTGAGATTGTAATTCTTTTCTTTTTCAGCTTTGTACAATGGAATAGGAAAGAAGAAGGTGGATGCTTAGATTTTACGCTGGTGAAGAAATGTCCCTTTTTAGTGATTCACCCACAAACTTAAAATGTATAGTGAATGAATACACCAACAGAGAAGAAACCAAATGACCAGTAAGTACAAGTCCGAGGAGTTTGAATCTGATATTTTTACTTGAGCTATCTTAATGCCAGGGCTTTAAATGGGTGCTTTCTATCCTTTGCTTTTATTATAATTGCTGAGGCTAAGCTGTGAAACACCATGGAGCACGAAGCTAAGCTACAGCATGACTTCCATAAACACAATTTTAGAGTAATATTTTCTTGAGAACGCTAAGGTAACAATATTTTCTTTCTGTTCGACTAGCTGGCTAAAGGATATTTGCTGTAATAGCCTCATTGAAACAACAAATTAAATCAAGTTATGTCTCAGTCTTTGGTTCACTCAAGGAGGAGGATTATTACTGAAATAGACCACTGGTGCTTTCCTGCCAGCACTGGGTTACTGGCAGAGTCTGTTTTAGGTCCACTGAGTGTGTGGCCTTTCTGGAAACAATGAAAGGGCCTCTGCAGAGACTTCTAACCCAGCTTCATTTTTCTCAGCATCATTTAACTCTGGAACATTTGCCTATCCTACAGTGACAAAGAATTTAACAAGTTTCTGCCTACTGTTGCTCATTTAGGTGTGAGCTAGCACGGTATGGGAGGTTGTGGCCAACAGATTTAGGCTTATCACACTGTTTAGTCCACATTAAAAAAAAAAAAAAAGGCTTCGTTTCTTCTGAGAGTCAGTGGACACATGGCAAATTTGTTTAAAGGTGTTCTATTGAAAAGGAGGATGCCCACTGACACTAGGGATGTTAAAGACACAACAATGGGCTAGAAAACACAGACATAAACGTTGACACACAGACATGTTACAAAGAAAGTCTTTTGCTACTTTAATTTTGGCATTCTAACAATTCTACTCTTCTACCAACTAAATGTCATTTACTCAAATGTATAACTGTGACAATAAGTCAGTACTGAACCCATTACGGGGTTATAAAATTTTTCTCTTTTGTGTCCTCTGAGTCCAACTCTTCTTAGAGGCATTGAAGTTTTTAAACTACTTCCCCCAAAATACTTTTTTTCCCTATTTCAGGCAGATTGTATTAGAATTAGGTTTGTAGGTAGTAGTAAGGTAGAGCCATTTTTCTGATATTAGTAACACTTTTTTTGACTGAGGCTAAATCGAATACAGCTAAGAAAACCGTGTCCAGTTTTTATTTGTAAGCTCTTGCATATGAACAATTTCTGTAGTCAGTCTCCTTTTGGTAATGCCAGTGACAATTCAATAAAGCAGTTAACAGACTTCCTTTGATAATCAGAATGAATGGAAACACCAGGTTTGTAGAGAAACCTCCTGGTGTCACCATTACTACAGACATACTAGCAGATTTCCAGACTTAACAAGGCATGCAAAACCCTTTTTATTCCATCTTGTCTTTGGTTTGCGTTTGGTCAACAAGAGCTCCAAAGAGCACTTCCCTTCATGCCCCTCTTTTCTTCCCTCTCTTTTTTGAACTTCTCCCCAGGCCCCCAGACCAATGAGAACATCAAACAAGATGAATGAGAATGGAGAGACAAAAGTTTTCAGCAAATCCTTACTCGGACATTCTCCAAAATTCGTGGAATTGTTTTCTCTCTCTCTCTCACCCTTGCTCAATCCCGATGCAGGTGAAGGTGACATAGCTGGAATATTAATTTCACAATTTTGCAGAGCTTAATGTACATTCTTTTTCTTAGTTCACTTTAGTTTTGATTGATAAGAAACAGGCAGTTCAGCTTTCACAATAAAGGTCATGGCTGTTATTTTAAAAGACTATAGTTTGATTCCCTTTTTTCTTTTTTTTCATGCTGCTTTACTTTTCAAAAACTAGAATTTACAATTTTACCATTGAGAGTTTCCTATAACTCCTGTTACCATCTTAAACTCTCCTTATTTAATGACACTCTGAAGTACACATTCTTGAATGGCCTTATTTCAATCATGGTTTGTCTAAACCCTTACTGCTTTTTGAAAAATTTAAGTATATTTGTGCTACCACTACACTACAGCATTTATTCAAAAGCGTATCAAATTCAGGATAAAATTCATTCTTGTACTAATATCTGTTCAAGTGAATTCTAAGCATTCCAAGCCAGAATCATGTTATATTTAGAGATGCAAATCAATGGGTCTGAGAATTGAACAAACAAATATGAACAGTCATAATAGCTCTTAAAATCTAGAGGTCACCCAAACTTCTTAAGCTCAGTATGATAAAGAAGCTCAACTGCCACCTTCCAAACTTGTAAGCACGTGTCTCTCCAAAGCAGGACAGATTTGCAATGTTTGTTAATAGGACAGTTTTGAGCTTGTTCTGTCCAAACTATATTGTGAACAGGCAAAGTTTCTACCACAAGCCTTATAATTTCTTTTGTAGTAAATGCTACTGGATACGATCTGATTTTCCTAAACAGTTACTAAGACTGCATCACTGTCATTTTTAAAGATGTACACAATTTTAGAAAAACTATAAAAAGGCAACATGGCTTTTAAAGAACTTCAATGCTCATCTTTGTTTTCAATTAAACATTGAAGCCCTTCAAAGGGATTCATGAACACATTTGTAATTCAGACAGATTCATTCTAATACTGTTGCTTTGAGAGATGACCATATCAAAAATATGGTATATTGCAACACATCTAGACCATGTGAAGGAATGTGATCAGATATTGTGTTACACTTCACATTGCCCCTAATAATAAAAGAAAAGAAAAAGGAAAATGTATTTTCAACAAAAAGAGGGTAATATGGCACAGTTAAGCTGCTGTTGCTGACTTCAATTCTCCTGTTTTTCCTGGAATACTCTGCTCACTTTACTGTCTTGTGGGGAAGGGGAAGGGAATCATATCTAATAAGGCTACACACTTTTTTCTCTTCCAAAGACAAGATACCAAACAACTTAAGGGAATGGCAGAAACTGATCTGAGATAAAGAAAAATACAGATTCAAAGACAAGATTGATGCTGAGATAAAGAAAAATACTGATTCAAAGACAAGATTGATGCTGAGATAAAGAAAAATACTGATTCAAAGACAAGGTTCATTCCTAGGTACTGTGAAAAGAAGAAAATCTGTGACATATACTGAGTAATTACCATGGGGGCCAGGGGGAGGTCTCATCATTATCCTCATTTAGTACTGAGGAAGAAATCCATGTGAATCTTAACATCAATCAGGTTGCTACTATCTATTAGTCAACTACAGAGGCTCCAATTACCAAAAAGGAATAGATTCTCATTTGTGCTGCTCTATCTGATTGTTCAGATGTTAAAGAAAGTAAAGGAACAAAACTGGCACCATTCTGAATATTTTTCTTTTTTTTGAGATGGAGTCTCACTCTGTTGCCAGGCTAGAGTGCAGTGGTGCAATCTCCACTCACTGCAACCTCTGTCTCCCAGGTTCCAGCGATTCTCCTGTCTCAGCCTCCAGAGTAGCTGGATCTACAGGCATGTACCTAATTTTTTGTAGAGGTGAGGTTTTACCATATTGGCCAGGCCGGTCTTGAACTCCTGACCTTGTGATTCGCCCACCTTGCCCTCCCAAAGTGCTGGGATTACAGGCATGAGCCACCCTGCCAATCCCCAAATATTTCAGTCCGGCTGTCACCTGAGCAATTTCAGTGCTTACAGCAGCTGGCTATGGCCATACGACATATTTTTCTTTTCTTTTTTTTTCCTAGTGAAAACTTTTAAAAAACGTTTGATTAAATCAAATTCTTAAGAAAATGCACCTACACCAGGGTGAAAATGGCATTTGAGCAAGAGCCTCCTATTAAACGGATGTTTTAGAATTGTCCTGTCAACCCATGATACCCCTACCACCCCTTCAAAACACAATTCATTCTATTACAAAAAGATTCATACAGGAAAACTCAATCATAAATGTGTACTGTATTGAGGAAAGCAGGAGCATGGTCAATAAAGCAATATCTCAACATTAACTGAAGTTGGGCCATTGACTGGAGGAGCCACACGCTTAGAGAGAAATGTGGAGGGAATGTGAAAACGCTCCTCTTTGTAAACATCTCTTAAACGGTTTTCTTCAGTGAAATCACTACAATGAGCAAGGAGACACAGTGAGCAAGAACCTGGTTCCTGGTTAGCATCCACTGTGTGTGAGGTCATTCCAAATGGAACTTCATTTCCTTTAGCCTGGCCTCAGAGGTATGTTAGGGGTGTCTTTCTAGCCCAGTGACTAAATAAGTCACTGCTGAAACTAATGGGCTTTTTGTCAGCAGAGTGAACTCACAGCCAAAACAGACTGTTTAATTCCATGCATCATGGTAGTAAGAAGGCAGTAATGTATAGAGGAGGAGGAAGGAGGGAGGAGGGGGGAGGGGGGAGGAGGCGGAGGAGGAGGAGGAAGGCAGTAATATATCGAGGAGGAGGAAGGCGGGGAGGAGGAGGAGGAGGAGGAGGAGGAGGAGATGGAGGAGGAAAGGATGAAGCCCTGAGCAACTCCGAACATTTGATAACCAGCAAAACTCCAGGCTCACCCCTGCCCCACAACTGCTGTGCATTACTCAGTGGACTGACGAACTTTCCTCCTTAGACAAGGATGCTGGCCTCACTGTCCCATTTTGCTTGGGTCACAGAGGAGTTGAAGGCTCCCAGCACGTACTTCGGCTGGCAAAGGAAGCACAGTATAGCCAAGTCTGTGTGGTAGGCAGGAGGCTGGGGCCCCCACACCTCACACAACCTCTCTGCCACAACACTCGATGGGAGCCCTGCTGAGTGGTGACCACAGTTGCAGCTGGGAATGAAACCTGTGCAGAGGGGAGGATGAGCAAAATGATTCCCTTCACTCTTCTAGCTTGTCTCAGACCCTTCAACAAACCTAATCTCCAGTGTCATAACACGTCTCTCCTACCCCATGCCAAAAAGGGAAATGAGGGATCTGGGCTTCATAGCTGCCTCACCCTGACCAATTATGCTCGTAAGAAAACATCAGAAAACAGCACCCCAACAGCAACAAAAGGCAATTTGCATTGCCTAAAACTAATGCATTTTCAGAACTTACATTGGTAAGAACATTATTTACGGTAAATAGTTTTTGGAAATTATTTCATAATAAAAAGTAAGACATTAAACATGAGGACGATATTATGTTTATACAAGCCAAGAAGTTATGAAGTATACCATCACTAGCTCATATTTATAGAAAAGGCAAAGCACTGGGTAAGTAATTAAAGCACAAACCACTCACTGCTATTGTTTTTTTCCTTTCTGAGGGAAATGTTTAGAAAGATTGATAATGGTTAAAAAAAATTACCAGCATTTTTAAAAATCAAGAAACCACTTGAAAAGCACTTAATTTCTTCTCATTAGCCCTACAATCCCAGCCAATCATATTTAAGTTCTATTGCATAGCAAATTTGTGCTAGGAGCACATCACAATCTCCACTCAGAGAATTAATGAGACAGCAGCTCTTATCTACCATTCCTTTTAACCAGAGGGAAGAAAAAAAAAACAAAAAAAAACATTTTTACCCAGGGCATTTATTTGATAACCATCCACTTCTACCCCCTCCCGAAAATGCAGGCATAGTGGCGCCTCCATGGACAGCCAGCGGAGTCCACTCCCTCCGTGATACTTTTGCCTCTTGCTGATTTCGCTTTATCCAGTTCACACAATGCAATACCTCTATTTTCAATAACCTTCAAGAGAAAGGTAGAGCCCTGCAGAGGG